GAACCCGTGCACTCGTCATTCACAGTCGGCGGGCCCGTCCGTCGGGCTGCCTGGAGTCGTTGTTGGCGGCGAGGCGGTGAAAGGGTGCGGCCGACTCACACCCCTTTCGACCGGCAGTAGCTCGTTTTTATTTCGTTCGACTATCGCCACTTCTTCATCTGCAGCGGAAAAAGACTTTTCCTCGGCCTCGCCCCGCCCCGCCGGCGCGGCGTTTTCAATAATTTACATCCGGTTCCGTCACGACGACGGCACGACGGCGAGGCGCCAACCAATTAGTGCTTCGGGCCGCGCCAGGGCCGCGACAGGGCCGCAAACCTTCAATCACAGCGCGGTAACAAAACCAAACAGCATGGCCACTCTCACACGTGGCCAGTTCCCAGCGGCCATGGGCGAATTAAATCAAAAGCCAGCGCGAGGGTGTGGCAGGCAGCTACCCCGGCGCGGCCATGGCGAGGCCCTGGCGAGGCCCTGGCGCCACCGTAACATTGTCTTGTTGACAAGTATTGATGGTAACGTTACGACTCGGGCGGGCGCGCGAAGCAGCGCGAAGCCACAAGCAGTCCGAACCGAAAGAGCGCTCTCTCGGCACATTTCCCATTTCCTCTGTCCGATGGGCCCAACGCGTCCAATGGGCCCAATGGGCCCGGCCCAATCGAATTCACGCCGCACGGGAATGGCTGCAAAGGAGGGGCGCCAAGCTCGGCGCGGCGCTGGGCCGTGCCACGCTGCGCCACGCCGTGCCATGCCCTGCCAGGGCGCCGCGGCCAATGATGACACCCCCTTTTGTGGTGGAGGGTGGGGCGCCCGGCGCCAGCGTCGCGCTGATGACGGCGTGGTGCTGGCGGCGACGGCGTGGTGGTGGGACGCCGGGTTAGCGGCAGCCTGGAGATGACCGGACGACCTTAAACACCCTCCCTTAAACGTGGCAAAGCTACAAATCACAGTGCTTTGGACACATTCACAATCAGTAAGAGGAGTACGCATTTTAGAATGCGATATTGCCGAAAGAATAGTCATCTCTACTGCAGCACAACTACTCAGGGCTGTCGTGGCGGCCTGCTACAATGGGAGATGCTTACTACTCAGGGCTGTCGGCGGCCCGCCACTATGGGGGATCCTTACTACTCAGGGCTGTCGTGGCGGTGCTACTATGGGAGATGCTTACTACTCAGGGCTGGCGTGGCGGTGCTACTATGGGAGATGCTTACTACTCAGGGCTGTCGTGGCGGCCCGCCACTGTGAGACATCCTTACGCGTACTCCTTGTCATTAGAGGGCCAAAGGTCGTCTTTGGGTGGATGCGCCACTCCGAGTCAGCTCCGCGAGGCTCCACGTCGAGGGTGGTGCTGATTGGCCCGCTGCACGCACCGCGCCACCGCGTCGGCCGAGCCAAACGTATGTTTGCTCACTTTGGCCGTGTGATTGACTCAATTGGATGAGACGGGCGGTGTGGTTAGGGCACGGCCGTCATGAGCTGCCCCTATGACCGAGCCTCCCCGCGGGGCCTCGTGAATCTTGCAAGGAGGCCCCGCGGCAGCGGTCGACGGCGAAGGCCCTGAGTGTCGTGCTTGAAAACAGAAAGGGTTGCAACGGAGCGAGTGCCCCGTATGCCGGGGTGACTTGAACCGCGCTGCCCGCCCACGGGCTCAGAGATAAAAGTCCTCACGAGCAAATCTGAGTCACCGTCAAAAGTTATTTTGCTAGTTTTGCTTGTGAAAGATCTCGGTTGTCAAGGCCTTCCCCGGGGTGCTTGTAGCTTGACTCTAGCTGAGACACGGGAGCGCTCGCGGCGGCACACGCGTGGACTGGTGCGCCACGGCGCTGGCCGGGGCGGGGTGGAGCGGGGCAGAGCGAGCTCCAAATGTCAGCCACCGACATGATTGGTTTCCATTTTTAACGTTGATCAAAGCACACGCTGACTGCTGCGGCTTGCGACTTGATATCCGCCTCCTGACTCGCTGATCGGATGTGGTCGGTGCGGCCGGGCCACGACCATCAGCCACGCGAAAAAGGAACCGGCAGGGAGCGGGCGGCAAAGGGGGAGCCCACTAAATTATTACATTATTGGTGTGCTGACCGGCCTGGCGGGGCCTGGCACACGCTGTCTGCCGGCTCTGCCATCGCCGGGACACAATATTTCATGGCGGGGCCTGTTCCGTTTGCACGACAAATGACAGCTGTAATGCAGCGGGGCCTCGCTATGGCGCTATGGGGTGACTCAGTGACTCACGGCGAGTGAATTTAGAGGCAAGGGAAGTACCGCCGCTATACGCTCGTTCACTCAATGATGCGCGGGCTGCATTACTAGCGGCCAATTGGAGGCTCCGACCGCATCCACACGTTCTCACACGCACTCACACACACACACACACACACACTCGTAGATGCAGTGTGGCGCCTCGGAGAGTAGCGCGCTCGGCCGCTCGGCACTCGGGACGAAACCTCAAAAGTGCGTGCGACTGGGTTGACTATGGTATGTACGGTACGCGCGCGCCACTTTGTGTGTGTGTGTGTGTGTGTGTGTGTGGTGTGTGTGTGTGTGTGTGTGTGTGTGTGTGTGTGTGGTGTGCAAGGCCGGCTCGGAATGAACAGTCCGCCATGATTCGCCCATTCAGGTATGCACTTAGCTCATCTTTTCCATCAGACGCGCACCAGTATTCGGGACTCGATCTCACAGCGCCACACTTGCTGCTGCGGCGGCGCGGCGTAACCCAGCAACGGAATGAATGAATTAAACAACACGGAGGGGGAGAGAGAGAGGGAGAGAGAAATCCGCTTTTTAGGCAGCTTTGCGGAGGCGCGTTTGTGGCTGGGAAAGACTTGTTCACACTCCGCGCATGACCTGAATGAAGCTCAAGGTGTAGGGGCCGCCGCTTCACGGAGCACGGCCCGCTCGAGGTCCACGACGGCGGCGGTGTAGTCCTCCCCGCGAAGCGCCCGCCGCGTCCGCCGGCAGCATAGCAGCAGACCACAAGCGCCACAAGCGCGCAGTCTGGATTAGATCAAGAGCCAGGCAGCCACGCACTGTGTGGGAACAGACCACAAACAAACGTTGCAAAGGGTGCGTTCGCCAGCGATTCACCTCTCGAGCCTGCCGATCGAGCTTCTCGATGGTCGCGAGGCATCGCCAGGGCATCGCCAGGGCACCGCCGGGCTGGCCTGAGCAGCCGGGCGCCGTCCGGGAGCCGCCGGGAGCCACCGCAGCATCGATGCCGCATTAATCGAATTTGAAACCACAGGCAGGCGAAGCGGCGAGGCGGCAAGGCGCTACCGGACGGACGGAGCCTTGCCCGCGTCCAACGCCAGGCACTACGCGTTTCAAGGCAACAACTTTGCATTTTCTCTGCATTGCAGTTCGACGCCTTCCAGCAAAAGAGGCGCCTACGAAGGGCGGGATTCCCGAAATTTACTTGTTTGGCGAATATTTTGGCACAATCCAAGAACGATGACTGACGGTGTCTCATGTTTGGACTATTTCCCCCTCCGGTGTCCCACCTTCCCGTTCCGATCGCTGCAATGCGATGCCATGAGATGCAATGCGTGAATGCGGCTGGAGTGGAGAACAATGACACACACACACACACACACACACACACACACACGGAGGCACGTGATCGCACGCACACAGCGACACGGAGGCGCACGGCGACACTGAGTCTGTGATTACATAGGGATAATGCAGCCTCTCGAGGTGTCCCGCCACCCTGGGGGGTCCCCTATGTGCATCACGCAGTCCCCCTGCCCGTTTTCTCCTGCTCCGAGCTGCGAATAACATTTGTTGACACTTATTTGCAGTCCGCATAGCGTCACTCGCAAGTCACGATTAAAAAGCCCCCGTTTTTTCTTTGTTTTGTTTTTGTTTTTGAAGGGGCGCGAGCGCGGCAGCAACGGTCGCGGGTCGGCGAGGGGTAGCGCCAGATGGGGCGAGGGCTAGCGGGCAGATGAGGCGTGCAGTGTAGGCGTGGCGGCGATATCGTCGAGGTGTGGCCAAGAATTCGACACGTCCAACGAACCAATTTCCAAACTTAATTTGGCCGGTCTATTCATGGCCGCGATGACAGCAGCGCCCTCCCGGTGGGGACGGCTCCACAAAAGGTGAGAAATGAACGCAGCGCGGGGGGAGGGGAAGGGGGAGGAGGAGGGGAGGGGAGGGGGTTGCTCTTGTGCCAAGTAGGGGTGGCGGCGGCCTGCGGGCCTACTCATGGTCGGTTTAGCCACTTGGGAAGGGTTATTGAACACGGCGTCAAGGCTTAACAGGGTTCACCGCGTCCGTCCGTGTGTGTGGGGGGGGGGGGATCTTTCAAGGGAGTCGGGCCGGCAAGTGAACTGACTGTAGAGCATTTTCATGTATTTCCAGGTGCTTCATTCGAGGTTTTCAAAATGAAGTCAAAACAGCCAGAGCGGATTGTTAAAGGACTTTTCAAGTTACCGTTGCATGCGTTTTGAGCTGCCTCTTTGAGGCTGCCACGCAGCGAGCAAAGGGTCGCGAGCGGCCGGCCGGCCGTTGGTGGCAACAACCCTCTCCTTCCACCCCCTAGTCATGACTGCAGGAGAGAGAGAGAGATTCTCTCGAGAGGCGCGCGCAGCTTCTCCAAATGCAATCACTCATTTCTCTTCACTTTTTCCGCTGACTGCGCCCCGCCCCGCCCCGCCGCCGCGCCCACAGGAGTGCTGCTGCCCCGCGAAACAATAACTGACTGTGGCTGCACGCCCTGGTGCACACCGTGCATGCCGCGCGCTTGACGGCTGACTGGCTGCCGCCCCGCGCCGCGCCAGAAAAAACAAAACCGCACCACCAAAGTGTAACACTCGCTTCAAATTTTGAGTGGGTCTGGCCCGTTTCCGTTTGGGAAGATGGTGGCGGCGGTGGCAGTGGCGGTGGTTACGACATAGGGAGAGAGTAACGCAAACCCTTGAAAAAACCAGGTCCCTCGTAAACAGCTCGGAATCCGGAAAAGAACTTAGAAAAAAAAGTCTGCGACCTCCAAAAACTCTGTTTAGAGAAATTGAAAAAAGAAGTTTTATATTTATTAATGCTTTCATTCCTTCATCTTCGATGTCGACGACAGGGTCTCAGGACCCTTTCGATCCGAGCAGCCGGAGCAGCAGCCTCTGGAAGGCGGCCACGTCGGGCTTCTCGACGAGCACGGCGTTGGCGGGGAGGCGCGTGGTGTTGGAGTGGTCCACCAGGGACACGCCGCGGCCGGGGCCCTGCCCGGACAGCACGTCCACGCGCACGGCCTTCCCCGGCGGGCAGACGCGCGCGTCCAGGATGTGCGCCGCCAGCAGCCCGTCGGCGCTGTTCCAGGTGGGCAGCGTGGCGAGCAGCACGCCCTCGGCGCGGTTCAAGAAGGCCACGTCCGCGGTGCCCGCCGCGCCCAGCACGTCGCGCCGCCAGGCCTGCAGCACCAGTCCCAAGTTTAAAAAAAGTACAGGGTACGAAGCGTACGCCCTTATGTCGTGACTTTGAGCCTGCCCTCGGCCAGATACAAAAATCTGAGTCTCCGAGTTTGGAAACAGAAATTCACGAGGGAAGAAAACCACTTACGACGGGCAGCTCGGCGTCCAGGGCCGTCTCCCAGGACAGCAAGAAGGCCGGTTTGTCGGTGGGGACGGCGTCCAGGACGATCATGGCGGCGTCCGGGTCCGAGTACATGTTGAACTCGGCGCCTGGCTTGTAGTTGCCGTTCCCTGCAATGCATTTTCCTTGTTTTTGTTGTTGTTGCGTGAGCCTTCCCCGTGACTGAGTCATCGAGTGGAGATACCCCGCGCCGCTGCGGTTGCCGCCTCTATACTCCGCGCGCCGGGATAAAGGCTTCGGCGGCGCGGGGTATGTCCGAGCGAGACGCACCGTGCGCGGCCCCGCCGAGGATAAACAGGTCCCGCAGGTTGTCCAGGAAGGCGGCGTCCAGGCGCACGGCCAGGGCGATGTTGGTGAGCGGGCCGATGCAGAGCAGGCTTAGCTGGCCTGCAACACAGCGACAGAGTCACCCGGGCGACCTGGCCGGGCCGCGGGGCATTCCCTCCTCAGCTCCACTCACCCTTGTGCTCCCTGGCCAGGCGCACCAGGGCCGCGGCCGCGTGCTCGGGCTGCACCTTGTTGACGTCCGGGGGCCCGGGCGGCAGGAAGTCGCCGAAGCCGTCCTCGCCGAAGTAGAAGTCGTAGGTCGGCTTGGGCGGCAGCAGCGCGACGCCCGCACCTGTGTACACGGGCACCTGCGGAAAAACACGTGGAAGCGGATTCAAGCGGCAGCGTCAACGGCGGCGACAAGTCCGGTGTTTGAACCCACGTCCTGGCGGCCGGCGGTCTCCAGCGTGGCCAGCACGTTCTTGGTGACGTTTTCCACGCCCGTGTTGCCGAACACACAGGTGATGGCCAGCACCCGCGTCTCCCGCCGCCTGCCGGTCCAGTCACGCCCTCTGCGGGAAACAGGACGGAGTTTCAGGATCCAGACTCGTTGAGGAAGGTTACTGCTTGGCGACCGCCTTCGGAAAAATTGGCTACAGTGACTTGCAACTGTTACAGCCGGTCCCGATAAGGAAGCTTCTTTTCGTTTCAATACGCGTTTTGATCGAAAGTTATCAAACCGTCGAGTCATCGCCAGCAGCCGATCCGAAACTGACCAGCCGCAGTCGACTGATAAGGGATTATTTGGGGCCGCTCACATGTGCATCTCCTCGGCCCGCAGCAGCTCCAGGATGGCGACGGCGTCGTCGGCGCCCGCGTCGGTGTCGATGACCAGCACGCGGACGTCCGGGGCCTCCACCAGCACCGAGGCCAGCACGGCCAGGGTGGTGAGGCACACGGCCCACACCGCCACGACCGCCGCGGTCAGCCAGCGCGCCTGCAGCATATTATCAAGTCACTCTCAGAGGGAAATAGAAAGAGAGAGAGTGTTCGATAAAGAGTACTGTACTTTCCGTTACCAAGATGCAGTGCTAATAAAGAAGACATTTGATTGGCGTGATCCCGCCATTAGCTCCGCACAGTAGACTTTGTTAGGTAACCGCCTTGACCTCTGAGGCGGCACGGCGCCACACACACACACACGCCCACACACACACACACATGCCGGCGCTTTCCCGCTCTTTGGTGATGGTTTTGGCGGTGGCGCACATAGGTGCACACACTCTAAAAAATAATGGCATTTCTACTACACTGTCGTATGGTAAAAGTACCAACTTCGGTATGGGAAACGACAATCCTATACGTGATTTGGAAAATTCCTATGCTTTTCGTTCTTTTGCCAATGTGGTGTAGTAAAAATCCGAACCTAGTATAGGAATTTGATTTCCTATACTCATGTTTGGTTTTTTCCTACACTTTTTGGTAGAAATCCTATTACTTCAGGCCATTGTATACTGCTTTTCCTACAACCTATTAGTAAGAATCCCAAACAAATTCTGAAATATTTTTTCAGAAGAGAGGGGACCAAGACAGACGTTCAATATTCATAACAGGCTAACGGCACAATGACTAAGGCGACAAAGGTGCTCAGAGAAAAGTAAAGAAAAGCTCATGTGACGTCAAACCGTTAATAGAAATTGGCAGTAGACGATTCGTTAAAACCGGTTTAAACTTATTTTGTATCTTGTTCTGCCCCATTATCACATTCGGTTTTAGATAATTTTGACTTCTTCATTAAAACTTGAAATGGGTTTGTCTCTGAAAATAGCGGCAACTCAGAACGACTCATGTAGATGAGCCATGGTTTTGAATCCTTGCGAAATTTAAAGTGATATTATTATGAAGCTGAAAATAAACGTAGCGCTCCAAAGCATTTTGACATCGTCTATTGTTAAGTTACCTTGTACCTAAAAGGTGAGCTGTGGGTAAGGGTATGGTCCACTGTCAGCCGCCTGACGTCAGGTTGCACAAACCTGCCGCTAGTCGGCGCTTGGAGCGCCGTGCCCGTTCACCACTAAGTATTTCCGATTTATGTTACTAAAGTAAATAATTTTCGACAACTATATCATCTGTTGCCTAAGTAAGTGTCAGTCCTAGCCGTTGGCTTTCAGTTTTAAACAAAATATTACACTAAAGTCGAGAAAAACGCTTGTCCATGTTGGCACTCGCTGGCGACTGCGGTCGGCCATTAGGTTGGGTGCACGCAAGATCCGCCTTGAGGTACAGAGCCCGGGAGTGGATTGAACTGCCTCTTGGGTGGGTCATTTCCTCTATCGGAGACAGAATCCCACTTCAATTTTTAAAATGCTTCCCCAACTGAAGTGGCGCTGGCGCCATGATCTCTCGGGACGTGATCACTATTTCTCAAAGTAAGACTTCCTATGTGTGTATAGGAGTTTTACCACATCACGGAACGAAAATATCCCACAACTCGTATGGGATTTTTACCATACACGGTGTAGTAGTTTTCCCACACCCTAATATAGTAGAAACCTAACAACACGTATAGGATTTTTGCCATATCGGCAGATGGTAAATTTACCATGTCCTGTGTGGGAAAATTCCTATACCGATTAGGTTAAATGCGTCCGATACTTTTATAGGATTTCTACCACAATATTTTTTAGAGTGCAGCGAGCATCAGAGACGTGCATTTCCGCCCGCCTCGCCGGCGGCAATCGTCGCGGCAGAGATAAGCAAACGGACGCTCGAGCATCGATGTTTTTCTGTGCCGCCTCGCGCAATTAGATGTCCTGGGGACACGGTGATAAGGACACGTGCCGTTGCGCAACCGTGTGCGACTAACCTCCAAACGGCGGGTCCTCCTCCACCGCCCTCCGAATTGTCCGGCCGGGTCCTCGAGAGCGGCGTCTCGAGCGCGCTCGCTAGAGGGCGCTGGGCGTGCCGCCACGCTGCGCGACGCTGGTACTCACCCGGCAGCGGACGGTGCTCATTGGTGCTCGGTGTGTCTTTGTCGCTGGGCCGCCGGCCCTTCCGTCTCCGTCCGTCCTCACTGCGGCGCGAGCAAGGCGCGAGCACCTCGATGCTCACACGGCCGGGTCTGGGCAGGCTTGCCAACGCCAAATAGCCGCACTGCCGGCCTTTGGCCGCGCCGCCACCGTCCGAGACGTTCTGACGTTGTACCGAATTCGAGCTCCTCGACAAGTTCCTCCTCCAGGGCCGCCGAGCTTTGATTATGACGTGAGCGTGTACTGTCCCGAGGATCACCCGGGGGCTTACGCAGAACGGGACTGCAGAAAAATTTCCGCTCCTCCTGCACTGAGTGATCTAGAAGGATCCTTCCCCGGGGTTCAAGTTAGGGGTTCCAACTCCGGATAGCTTCATATCCATTACTTGTATGACCAGCTGACTCAATCAGTTTGCACTAGGATTCGGGATTTGTTTGAGTCTAGAAAATCTATTTATAGTCAAGTATCACCCGGGGGCGAATTAACCAAATAGGGTTCTTCAACTGAGTTATTGCTTCGGCCCCGATTACGGGTGCACACCTGGTATCTTTCTTCCATGTCGACGGCGGTGAAGAGGCCTGATTGTTTTGAGGTGCCCTATTCGGGGTCATGACGTGACGCCTGATAAGACCGATAGTAGTCCCTAGGCCGTTCCTTCCTGACTCGATTCACGCGAGGGGCGGTTGGTTGAGTTCTTTGGCACACGCGGACGCTTTCGTGGACGGGGTATTCGGCGGAGAGGGCTCACGTGTTTCTGCTACTGTGATTGTTAGAATACTGACTGGAGCTTCTACCGAGCCAGGGCTCCGGGAGGGAGGCTCGTGCCTAGTTCCTAAACATCTAAGGTGAACGCATCGGCCACAGGCCGTTGACAATCAGACTATTCCAGCAGTGCCGGCTTACGCCTGATTACTAGGCAAGCTATCTGCCAGTCGTGTTAGTTAGCTGGCATTTAGCAGGGGGCGGTTTTCTGCAAAGGCAGATAGCGTGGCGGCCAGCTGGTGCGCTGGTGCGTGCGCGTCACAGAGGCATTGACCAGTGAGACCTGGGTAGTGCGCTGCGCCTGCGATAATCGGTGGCGACGGCAAAGACGCGGAGGTGCTGCTCGAGACGCGTGCCGGCTCTTCTTTTTGTTTGCAGGCCAGATCCAGCGAGTCACGGGTGCGTTCGAAAGCAGCGGACGAGAAGCGACCGACCGGTCAGGCCTCTGACCACACCTCGCCCGCGTGCGCCCATACCCATAGACACCTATCGGCAAGTCCACACACACTTGGGTTACACAAGCAGCGTGCACTTTTGCTGGGTTACTTGGGGTCGATTCCAGCTTCTAGACGGTACAGTTGATTTGCGTGAGCTGAAACTGTTTTTGGTCCCATCACCCGCGAAGCCTTTTAACACCAAGCCAAGCGCCCATGTGACAGTGCGTTTTCGGCGACCGGGGCTCTAACCGATACGAGAAGAACCGGTTGGTAGGCAGCATCAACAACATACCGTGCGGCGAGGACACGCCCCAAATTCGCATGTAATCGTTTGCCCCTTTTCCCAGCTGGTCATCCTCCGAGACACATTGAAAATGCTATCATTATTCTGGCGATATGGGAGACGCAGAGTGTACGCCGCCACCCAGGCACCGCGCGGTCCGTGACTGGGGGAAACTGTATCAGTTGACAACAATGTGGGTCACTGCCACTGGTCGGAGCAGTGACCAGCGAAACTTTTCGCGTGTGGCGCCGCCTGTTTGTTTTTGACCGTCTCGGAATTAATTACCCATATTCTCGTGACCCCTCGTCGATCCACCAATCATCTTGTCCGCCAGGCGCCGCCAGACGTTGAACGCGCTGCCCCCGACGTCCTTGGCCGCGGCTGGAACCGCTGAGTCAGAATGGACGCGCCGCGTGCCGCGCACGACAATATTTGTGGAAGTTTTCCAGCGCACCTCAGGTGCTTCCAGCCCCCGCAGTCACAGAAAAGAGTGGGCAATAGGGGGTTCTAGGAGGCATTTTAAATTTAGAAATGAGACCTGGTAACTGTTGTTATATCTTTGGGTAAATAATCCGATCAATTACTCAAAAAGACACAGGTCTCTGTAATCTGCCACTAGCGTGTCGAGGACCGCCCTCAGCAGGCGTGATAGCAGTCTGCTCCTCCCACCGCAACGGCTAGCCGCTCACCAGACGAGGGCAGGTGACCTCCTTTTCGTACCTTAAGTGCAGAGAGTGCGCTAAACTTCACAAAAAGAACCACTCCCTAAGAAAATATTCTGCGTCGTTTTCTTCTGTTTGACAGTAGGGATAACAAGAATCATGAGTGGGTTCCAAAACTCGATGCTCGAAGCGGGATTAGTCCAACTACTTGCCGGTCATCATCGCACTTATGGCACGATGCTCCTGCCGCCGGCACCGACCGGCACCCATCTCTCCATCTCTCTCCGCCACCTCCTCGCGGAGCCTGCCTCTCTCCGCCTCCCCCGCGCCTCGGCTCCGTCTTTCTCCTCCGCGGTGCCACTCTCTCTATCTCTCCGTCTCTCTCTTCCCCTTGCCGGTCCCGACCCGCGGCACCGCGAGGCAGCCCCTTTAAATCGCGAGCGAGGTCGCGGCGGCCGGTCAGTGCGAGGACGGTCTTCTCCTGGGACGGACAGCCGCTCCAGTGTTGTCACTTGGTACACAGTGCAGTGGCGCCACGCGGTGGCTGTTGTTTTGATCGACGGGACTGAGTGCGCTGAAGATCGTTAAGTCCTGCAACAAGAACTGTCGAGTGAAGTGCCTGAGTGCGGTCTCTGCAAGCGGCGCAGTGCGTTTTTGAACGGTTTGCAAGAACTCCGCGGCCACACGATGCTGGTGCTGATCCTGGTGGGCGTCGTCAGCGTCCTGGCGACCGCGCTCTACTTGTTCCTGGACCGCAGGTACTCCGTGTGGAAGAGGAGAGGCGTGCCGGGACCACCGGCTTCCGTCAGCCTGTCGGTGCCCAAGGTAATGCTCACCCTTCGTCAACGACTGGGATTGTCCCGCTCGCTGTGTGTGAACGAAAGTCAAACCGAATGCTCGTTTCGTCCAGCTGCTTCTGGGACAAGAGAGCATGGGCGACATCGCGGAGCGCATCTACTCCGAGTTCAGGGACTCGCCCATCGCCGGCTCGTACGTGTTCGGCAGCCCCGTGCTGCACCTGCACGACCCCGAGGTCATCAAGCACGTCCTCATCAAGGACTTCCAGGTGAGTGCCCTCAGGGCGCTCCAGTGTGCCCCTAGGGAGTTCCCAGGGCGTTCCTACGTCGTGGAGTATAACAGGGTGCTTGTCTCCCTGCAGGACTTCAACGGACGGGGCGGGGACTCAGACAACCCCGACCCTCTGGCCTCCAACCTGTTCCTGCTGCACGGGGCGCGCTGGAGGAACCTGCGCGTCAAGCTGGCGCCCACCTTCACGTCCGGCAAGATCAAGTACATGTTCGACACCTTCAACAAGTGCTCCGAAAACATGGCCGTAGGTTTCCTCCTAACTGTTTCGATTCAATTTTGTTGGTGTTGTCCGTCTCTGACCGTTCGCGTTCCGGCAGGACTACTTGTCGGAGAAGATCGCTGCTAACGGCGGTAAGCACACCGAAGACGCCCGGCCGCTCATGATCCGCCTGTTCGTGGACACCATCTGCTCGGTGGTCTTCGGCATCGAGAGCAACGTGATCAAGAACCCCGACTCCGAGTTCTTCCACGCCGCCCTGGAGGCCGTGAAGCCCTCCTACCCCAACTTCTTCCGGGCCCTGGTGGCCCTCTTCGGCCACGACTGGCGGAAGGTCGTCCGCACCGGCTTCTCCAGCGCGGACTCGCAAGCCTTCTTCACCAAGATCGTCGAGGAGACGGTGGAGTACCGCGAGAAGAACAACGTGGAGCGGCCCGACATGATGAACCTGCTGATCCAGCTCAAGAACAAGGGCTTCGTGGCGCCCGACAAGGAGGTCGACAGCCAGGACGAGAAGTATGAGGGTGAGTACCTGGGATTGTGCAGTGCCCCTGGCACTTGACAGTGTGCTAACCATCCCTCTCCGCCCCCAGCCGTCTCGGGCGACCTGCAGAAGCTGGACATCAAGGACGTGACCGCGCAGGTGTTCGTCTTCTTCCTGGCGGGCTTCGAGAGCTCCTCCGGCACCACGTCCTTCACGCTCTACGAGATGGCCAAGCAGCCCGCCGTGCTGGCCAAGGCCCTGGAGGAGGTGGACCGCACCCTCAAGGAGCACAACGGCAAGATCTCCTACGAGTCCGTCATGAGTATGACCTACCTGGACAAGTGTGTGAGCGGTGAGTGGCGCGGCTGCCAGCCCACCGGGCTAGTCTCAGTAGTATGGGGCCCCCAGGCTGCCGGGCTGCAGTCTCAGTAGTATGGAGCCCCCAGGCTGCCGGGCTGCAGTCTCAGTAGTATGGAGCCCCCAGGCTGCCGGGCTGCAGTCTCAGAGGCTGCCGGGCCTGCTCCAGCGAGTCCTGACGGTTACTTCTCGTCCTGCAGAGACGCTGCGCATGTACCCGCCGCTGGGCTTCGTGTCGCGCGAGGCCATGGTGACGCGCAAGGTGCCGCTGACCGACGTGACGGTGGACAAGGGCACGCGCGTGGTCATCCCCATCCACGCCCTGCACTACGACCCCAAGTACTGGCCCAACCCCAACCTGTACGACCCCGAGCGCTTCAGCGAGGAGCAGAAGAAGACCCGGCCGTCGCAAGTCTACCTGCCCTTCGGTGACGGACCGCGCATTTGCATCGGTAAGAACAGTGGAAATCAATTTGTATTTTTGCGAACAATTTTGTTTTTAAGTAAAACCTTGTCTTACCGTGGCCTTACAGCTGCCCGGCTCGGCGTGGCGCAGATCAAGACGGCCCTGGTCACGCTGCTGGCCAAGTTCACCGTGGTGCCCAACGCCCAGTGCGTGGACAAGGTGAAGCTCCACCCACGCAGCTTCGCCACCGCGCCCCAGTACCCCCTCAACCTCACCTTCGTGGCCCGGTCCAAGCGCGCCACCGTGTAGTGGGCCAGCCGACCAGCCGGTCGCGCTCAGTATGCCAAAGAGACTGGCCCTGGAGGGCCTGTTTGCATGAGACACTCAGGTTGAGACCTAGTCTCTCAATTTCAATGCCGAACGCAATTATGCCTTTCCTTAATTCTCGCCGAACACTGTGAGAATGACTAGAGGTTTCCCCGCTCGGTGTGGGCTGGAAAAAAAGCACTCAGTACCTGCTGTACATAATTATCTTTCTCGATAAAGAATGTAAGAGTAAGATAGTTTCTGAACTGAGATAGTTAAAATTAACTGTGATGATCCCACAGTATTGGGAAATATTGTATATTGTAGATAGGGGGAAGGGCCTTGCGTGAATACCCCACGCACGAAAAATAGCCATTAGGATTCTCAAACGCGGGGTAGAGACGCGCACTTTTCTTTTCGGTGTGTGCTTAGTGCTAATGGAACGGAAGTTCCTGACTTTTCGTCTGCGACAGGCACTCGACAAGCTTTTAGTGCCATAACTGGGAGTGAATCTTTTGTGCGCGGGAGACTGGTCACGCTGGCCGGCCATTGTACATAGTGTCGATAAAAAATAAAGTGGTCACTGCTGTTTTACGAACATGTTTGCTCTAACCGTTGCAACGGACCCTCCACCACCACCTCCTCCTCCTCCTCGCAATGAACACCACCATGCTGCCCGGGTGTCGTTCGCCTATCAGGCCACGGGTTTCTTGAATCGAATCTTATCGGCAGACAGAGTCTTGTCGGCGCTCTGTCTCCGTCGCACTCACGAGGCGACCCAAAATGACTCCACCCAAATCGCGCGGCAGAGGCCGTCGGACAATCGGAAGCACGCGGCGCGAGCGCCATTGCGACAATTGCATCCTTTGCATCTCGATCGCATCGGTCTGCGTCTTTTCCCAGGCGAAACTCCGGCCACCCAAAGTTGGTCAAAGACTGACTGAATCTACAAAAGTATGATAGTGATTATGTCGGATTTTCTTGATCAATACACTGATCACCAACTTGACGTACACTGATTATCCCCTGGGGGTTGCCTACACCAGTTGCGTCGCCGCGGAATGCGCGGTCGCCAGGCGGGACATTGTTTGCAGGCGTTGTCGTTATCGGAGCATCGCATCTCGATAATCTAGACCGGTGGCACTGATTCAATCAACACCACGCCAGTCGCCATGAAGCTCTTCCAGGTAGCGGCCTGCCTCGTCCTGCTCGCGGTCAGTAGGCACGCCCTTTTTCTCGTCCAGGCTCGGTGGCGGGTTCGACACTTGCCGCCCGCGGGGTTTTGTTTTTGTTTTTTCACGTTTCTGCGACCGCGTTTTCCAGGTGTGCCTCGCGTCGCCTGCCCCGCCGCGTGTGGCGCGCGCGCTGCTGCAGCCGCGGTCCAGTGAGTCAATGCAAACATAGCGCCGCCCTCTCTTTAGTTGTTGTTGTTTTCGCGAGTGTTGTTGTTGTTGCCGGCAGACGTGCGCATCATCGACGGTGGCGATGCCGCGCCGTTCCAGTTCCCCTGGCAGGCCGCGCTGCTGGCCGAGCACCGCTTCTTCTGCGGCGGCTCCATCATCGCCCCCACCTGGATCCTCACCGCCGGCCACTGCGTCGACCCGTGAGTCTTGCAGTGTATAGCCCGAGCATAGCGCGCCTGAAGGGTAGGCCACTCTTTGGACAGCGCGCCAGATGGGTAGGCAACTCTTCGGTCAGCGCGCCCGAAGGGTAGGCAACTCTTCGGCCAGTGTACCCGATGGGTAGGCGACCCTACGGTCAGTGCACGCGCACGCAGGGTAGGCAACCTTTCAGCCTCGTCACTGAAGCCCTCCCCGCTCAGGTTGACGGAGTTCCACGTCGTGGTCGGCGCGCTCACCATGCCCAAGGGGCACGAGGCGTCCCGACAGAGGTTCAAGACCAACCGGCGCTTCCTCCACCCACGGTACGACGTCAAGTTCCTGGACAACGACATCGGCATGCTCCAGCTGCCCACCAGCATCGAGTTCAACATCTGTAAGTCTGCCGCCAAACTTTTTCATGAGTGCCGCTTTGCGGCGTTGTTCTGTGGAACTGGAGACTGGTTCACAGAGTCGTGTCTCGCTCGTTCTCGTGGGGCGTCCCGAACTCGAGAGAGGCAGAGTGACGGAAACGACTCTTTGAACCAGTCTACAGTGTACGTCCACTTTGTCGCAGTCGTGCAGGCGGTGGCGCTGCCCTCCTACTCTGCCGCCACCGTGGACTGGACGGGCGTGGAGGCGCGCGTCAGCGGCTGGGGCAAGACCACCGACCTGGCCGACCACAACAGCCCCATGCTCAAGTTCACCACCCTCAAAGTGGTGGCCAACGCCGTGTGCGAGCACGTGTACGGCAACACCATGATCGCCAACAAGCTGTGCCTCTCCAGCGACGACGGCGGCCACGGCGTGTGCCAGGTGGGTCCACTGTCGGTGACGGTGTCTCTCTCGCACCCGCACGGCACGCGCCATGAGTGCGAGAGAGACAGCGCGACGTCTGTCTGGCAGACCACGCTCGTGCTTCTTGCAGGGCGACTCGGGCGGCGCGCTGGTGGTGCGGCAGGGCAAGACCATGGTGCAGATCGGCATCACGTCCTTCGTGTCCTTGGAGGGCTGCACGGTGGGCATGCCGCAGGGCTTCACCAGGGTCACGGCCTTCCTGGACTTCATCGAGGAGACCACCGGCATCCACATCGAAGACTAGGCGCGCAAATACACCCAGCCGTGGCGGCACACTGTTCTTTTTATTTGTTTCCATTATCACGGTGCTGTCCCTGGGAGGCCGTTTGGTCAATCGAGCGCCTGTGAGCGGGCAACCCATTCGACGGCAGCAGCCATACCCCGCGCGTCGCGAAGCCCGCGACGCCTTCGGACTGTCGAAGCGACGCAGGGTCGCCTCCTCACGAATGACCGCTGCCCCAGAGAAGTTTTGTCTGGCCCCAGAGACGTTTTCCCCAGACCCCAGAGAAGTTTTGCCAGGCCCCAGAGAAGTTTTCCCCAGACCCCAGAGAAGTTTTGCCAGGCCCCAGAGAAATTTCCCCCAGACCCCAGAGAAGTTTTGGCAGGCCCCAGCTCAGAGCTTCCACTTCCACCTTTCCTTTCGCAGTGCAGCAGCATCATCGCCGGGCCGCCGGAATCATCGGCTTATGTCTTCATCCGCCTGCCGCGTGCCCCGGCCAACCTGACCGACCCAGCAACCTGCGGGATCAAATCCCCTTCGGAAAAAAATGAGCCTCCGCCTGATCTGAGAGTGAGTGAGAGAGAGAGAGAGGGAGGGGTTCGTGGGAGGATCGGCTGGGCTCTTTGTCAAACCGACAGAAGCTGACAAGGGAGGCGTCGGGCGGGAGAGAAAGAGAGAGAGAGAGAGAGAGAGAGAGAGAGAGAGAGAGAGAGAGAGAGAGAGAGAGAGAGAGAGAGAGAGAGAGAGAGAGAGAGAGAGAGAGGCGCCCCGCGGTTGTGCAATGCCGACCGCGTCCTCTGCATAAAAACGCGAAATGTTTGCGCAAGGGCAGAGCGGCAAGGCGGCGAAGCGCGGCGAAGGCGGGGCTACGCACCGCGGGACAGTTGGCCATTTTAAAACACACCGTTCGGCCGCTCGCCGCTGGCAACCGCGGAGAAGGGTTGTCTCTGTCGCGCTGCCGGGGCGGCCGGGGCGTGCGAGGAAGACACGATGGCGGGACGGCGATAAGGCGAGCTCGTGTGCACACACACACACACACACACTCACGCTCACACACTCAGACTCACACACACACTACACACACACACAGACTCACACACACTCACACACACGCGAGGCACGTCCGCGTGGGCCACCCAACCCGCAGACCTACATAAGTGAGGGTGGACCGGCCGAGCGAACATCGCTCTGTCTCTCTCGCACTCGTGCGGCGGTGCGTGTCGGTGCGAGAGAGACTAGAGCGACCCGACGACTCTCCGGAATCGGCCGGCTGGTGGACCGGGCCACTTTACCAGCCGCGCCAAAATGGGGGTGCTGCGCGCCAAAAACTGCATCGTGATGGATGTGCCGTGGTTCGTGGCTCGCGGGTCCTCTTCTTGTTGCGTGCGTCCACTGCGATAATGCTGCGCCACTAGAAGGCGATCGGCCTGTCTCTCTCGCACCCACAAGGAACGCCCCATGAGCGCGACGGAGCCAAGAAAACGACTCTCGGAAAGTGCCTTCTCCGGGTTAAAATATTCCAGACACAATTGTGTAACGTCAACTTCCAGAAATTTGAAGTCTGAAAATGGAAAGGTGCGAGAGAGACGCTCCCTTTCGTAATGAGGCGTGAAATGCCACCGCCACCTTGGAGGCCGTGGGGGTCGGTGGTGGCGCAGTTTGGGGTTGGTTACGTGCTGCTTGTTTTAGGGCAGCCTAGCCAAGGGCCGGGGCAGCCTAGGGCCGTCCAGGACGCCCTACAAGGGCTGCGCCAGGACTCGCGGGGCTATCGGGGAATCCGTGACCAAGTCCGTGGGCACACTGGTGCACTGGGTACCCACTGGTACACTGGGTCAGCGAGCAGCCCGCGCATCTCTTATTTAGGAGCGCCACCGCACTCCGGCACGCCCGCGACGAAAAACAACCAAAGAGTAACGCCAATTTTCAGGATTTTGAAAAAAGAAAAACGCCGGCAGCGGGCGGCGAACTCCGGCCGCTCGCTCCGAATGCAGCGCCTCAGCCCACGCGGCCAGGAGAGAGGCACAGGTTGGACCAGCCGACTGCATGTGCGCGTCCGCACTCCTTTCCGAGCGACGGCGCGGCCGAGGCGGCCGAGTCGGGACCCTTAGGGTGAGATAATTTTGTGCGGACGTCCCGAAGAGGGTCCTGAGGGTCCTGAGGATCTTGACGTGCGGCTGACCCCCTGGCCCCATTCTTTCGGCGCAGCGCGCAGCCAAACAGATGTGTCTCCGCGGCGGACGGACGACGGCCGGGCGCACGGCCGGACGAATGGATGGGCAGACAGATGGACAGACGGACAGACGGGCGGACACTGCCGGAGTCGTAAGCAGAGCCAAAGCAGAGCCAGAGAGCTCCGTCCGGCGGTCCATTCGGATCGTGCGCCCGAGCGACACTCTGCGAGACACTCCGCGAGAGCCGCGCGTAGGTGAGCGCTGCGCCTGGCCGTAGACTGATTCCCAGCGTCGTTCTCGTCACTCTGTCTCTCTCGCACCCGTGCCGGACGCCCCGCACGAGTGCGAGAGAGACAGAAGACGACTCTCGGAATGAGTCTGCTGGACGAGGGACCGGTTACCGCGGGGTGAGATATGCATCGGCCGAATCAAAACCGCAAATACGAAAAGGTGTGAGTGCGTGTGTGTGAGCGCGTGAGAGTTGGCCTGCCCGCATTCCTCCTGAATTTCCTCGTCATAAGGCACTCACAACTCAGCGCGACGCGCGACGCATTTGGCCCGCTCCACCGGCCGAAGTCGTCGCTCTGTCTCTCTCGCACTCGCGGGGCGTCCCGTAAGGGTGAGAGATGGGGCGACGAGACACTCGAACCACTGTTCGGCCTACTGCGGGGCACATCCTGGACAAAGTTGTTGTTGTTGTTGGCGTTGTACAGGTACAATGTTGTTGCTGCGATGCGGCCGCGCGATAGAGCCGTTATGACACGGTGGTGCTGTTCTGCGCTGCTCGGCCAGCGCGCTGTCTCTCTCGCACTCGTGGCGCGTCGCGCGCGGAAGCGAGAGGGAGGGCGTGACGCAGGGCGGGGCAGCGCGGGGCTGCGCGGGGCGGGTATCAGGTACCTGAGGAGAGGACGCAGCGACGCAGGCAGTCGAAACGCAACGAAATGCAAGCAGGCGAAGCCAGGCGAAGCAGTGGAGGTGCTGGCTTGCTGCCCTGCCGCTCGCAGCGAACCGTTCACTTTACGTCGCCGTGGCGCTGCTGGTGCTGCTGGTGCAGCTTGGTCTGCTCGAAATGCCTATCCACACCGAGCCCGTCGCCGCCCACGCCAAGCCCGGCCGCCTGTTTTGGGTTACTTCATCATTTCGGCAGTGACCTTCCCGCCACCGCATTTCATAACGCGGCCTTGGGTGGCGTATGGAGAGGGACTTCCCTCGTGTCACTCTCGGCGTTGACCGCACGCCCGACTCACTGCGAGCGGGGGGTCCAGCTCCGTCTCTCTCGCACTCACGGCGCGTCCCGCGTGGGTGCGAGAGAGAGGTCCGCTCGGAAGCGTCCTGCTGCCTCGTCTTCCGACCGGCTGGCGCGGCGCGCCGTACTGGAGCGGCGGGGGGCCGAAAAGGTAACGAAATCCACGCCGGACTTCGGGGAGCCCGGGACGTCTCGCAAGCCGCGGCGCTGCGGCCAGTGACACGTGAGAGCCCGACCCGCGGGAGAAACGGAGGTTTAAAATTTTGATTTCCGACTTTTGTGGCCCCGAGTGGCTCTCTCGGCGAGCCGGCGACCTTAAATCGCGCGGGAAAATCGTTAAATTAGGGAGTCGAGAGGTTGACGACGGCGGCGGCGGACTTTATGATGTGAATGCGCGCGTTGGACGCAGTGGCAGGTGGACGGCTGGACCGGTGACCCCGTGAGTCAGTCAGTCAGTCGCACGCTCGGCCGCACAGCGCGGTGGCGGCTTTAGAAACCCCGTGTCAGTTCGGCAGCTTTACAGCGTCAGCGTAATTAAAAATAAGGCCCCGTAAAGCAAAAGCAAAAGCGATCGAAAGCGGTGCCGCGGCTTGTCGGCATGTCGAGGTCCTGGCGGCCCTGGAGGCCCTGGAGGCTCCGGAGCGGGCGGGCCGGGGGCAGGCCGTGCAGGGTGTCGCCCTGACTGACGGTCCGCCGTCCGCCCGAGAAATGAGACCAATACAACCCGCGATGGCCACATTATTTAAGTGCGGGTGAAAGTAATGGCTGCGACGCGCGAGCCGAGCAGCGCGACTCTGCGTCTCGCTCGCACTCCTGAGGGTGCGAGAGAGACAGAGCGACGCGCGGAGAGGGACGTCGCACGTCCACCGAGGGTTGAATCGTCTCGCTCTAGAACGACGCCGTCCTGGGGGACGGACGCTCGCAGCCGCCTTGCCTCGGCGTCGTCCGTTTCGAACGGCAAATTCGCTTTCTTAACGGCTTGATACTCGTGCGCGATCCCCGTCGGGGTCGCACCGTGCAACACTTTCACTGACAGGGGGTCGCCTTATGGCTCCGTAATGCGCCGTGCGTTACGTCACTCACTACTATCATTTTTGCTGCCGTGCTACACCGCCAGGCCCCACACGTGCCCGAGTTTGGAGTCCCCATTATCATTCGACCATGTTATTTCTTTTTAATGCGGACAAATTTGTTTCAGTGGGGCAGCCTGAGCGTGGGAATCGTTGCTGATCGAACGTGAGTTGGCAGCTCTGAACGACTAGAACGCTGCGAGACAGTCTTGCCGTTCGCGCGGCAGGACAATGTTGGTAGTGCCGGCATTGGTGCTTGTAAACCAGACGTCGCATTGTTTCCCCAGTGCCCTGGAGGGGGGGGGGGGGCTTTACAGTGGTGTCGCACGTATTGTGGCCGATCCCGCGGAGTGGACGGCCTGAGTCGGCAGTGGAGCGCCTGGCGCTTCGCAGGGTAGGCCGTCCCGTCGAACGGGGCTGCACTGGGTCTGCCTACCTGCCGGGCGCTCCTGCACTGCAAAACGGACGACAAAAATCCCCGACGCGGCTCCCCCTTCGTGCTTTTCCCACCGGGTATCGGGTGGTAACCGGATTACTCGGTGACAATAATTGGTGACGCTAAACGGGTCCGTA